AGTGGGTATGAATGGGAGTGAAAAAAAGGGGTGAGGTCACAATTTCATGGTGACCTGCTTCCCTCTATCTCAAAACGTAAATTATTTCTATGGATGCCTTTTCGGAAACCCCTCCGTCGCGTCCTTTGACCCAAATGTTTGGTGCTGCAAGGTAATCAACCAGAGGCGGTGAGTGTGTGTGCAGGGGGGGGGGGAGAGGGGGATGGCCCCTTACCGGCCTGCTGCCACTGCCCTCGGGCTCGAGCGCTGCCCTGGCTAACGTCGCGTCACGCGTCCAGTGGTAAATCCCTGCGTTATTTTCCCAACAGCAAGAAAAATTACCCGGTTTCAAATTGTGTAAAATTGATTGTAAGAGGTAAGAAATTCGTTAATTTGATGAGAGCAAGCTAATTTGCTGTGACCGCTAATAGTTGTCCGATCCTGGAGTTTGGCTGCTAGACAAGCTGTGGCTGCAATAGCGAACCCGTTAGTTCAGACACCATTTGGGTGTTAAGTCATCAGAACAAACCGGTTGGCTTCTGCAGCTACCGCTTGGCTGTAGCAACAAACTCTTGGCTCTTGGCTTTGCACTGTAAAATTTCTACAAAGCAATGCTTTGCAGGACTGCGAGGTATTTAGATCATCTGTAACTACGAAGCATCTATTTTTCAATTACTAAGTGATGCTTTTCAATTGCAAAACTTGCCGCAAAAGTATTGCTTTTGTAATTGCAAAGCATCACGTTGTAATTGCAAAGTAAATTCTTCGCAGTTACAAAGGATGTAAATACTTCGCAGTCCTGCAAAGTATTGCTTTGACCCGAATGTTTGGTGCTGCATGGTCAACCAGAAGCGGTAAGTGTGTGTGCAATAGGGGGAGGAGGGGATGGCCCCCTAAGGTGATGTACCGGCCTGCTGCCTCCGCATTGCTTTGCAGGAATCTAACAGTGTGTGCCAACTTATTATTGGGAACAACAGCTAATGTTGAATCGGATGCCACCAAATAAACTAACTTCTTTGCTGTGGCGCCAAATCCTTTTTGTGTACTCCGAGAGTACACAAGACTGACTCTACCAGAAGTCGATAGTGCCCCCACCCAATCACTATTTTCCCTATGGAACATGGCCGGACGGCAGCTCTGGTGTGGCGTTGCGTCTTGGGCAGGAATACACGCATCTGACGGCTGGCACGCATCTGACGGCTGGTTTCGGCATACTTTTCTCTCCGTGCGACAAATCGGTATGAACTCCTACTTTTAGTACAAAATTAATTAAATTAGTCTGCCTACCTACACCAAGTTGTACGATTTCTGCTTTCGATTGTTACTGGGCGTACTTTGGCGAAAACGGTAAGGTTGACGTGATTCTATCTCATTCCATATTAAATGAAATACAATGTAAGCTACTGACCCCTTCCTTAACGCCAAAGTGCCGTCAGTCCGGTGAGTCAATATCCGGCCGGTGACGTTGACATGTCTCTCTGAATTGCATGCGACGTACCTCTCTGCCGACGGATGCTTAATCCTGGGCGCACGGACTGCGCACGCGCACTGGCCGGCGTGCTGCACGTCGAGAGCGCTGGGCTGATAGCGCGGGGGGGCTGTGCCGCGCGCGGGCCCCCGGTGTGGCTGTCGGTGTGGGCGCGGGGCCAGCTGTCGGCACACTAGTTGAACCGGGCCGAGCGAGGGGCGGAGCGCGCGGAGCGGGCGCTCGGCCGCCCCCCACCCCGCCGCTGCTGCACCGCGCGAGGCTGGGGCGCACGAGACGCGCGCGAGTCCGCGGCGAACGGCG